GAATATAACCGATAATTTTTCGCACAACTGTCATAAATTTCATGAATTGTCTAACTATAATTATTATGCACATTTCCATAGCAACCAACCATTCCAACAACTGCGATTTCATCAAATTTTATTTTAATTGAACACTACAGGAAAAATAAAGAGATATATCATTATGAACAATCGGAGAAAAAAAATTATATGTTCAACTCGGCAGTCAATCTACTACTTTGCTGTCTAGTTGAACAAATAACTATTTTTTGCAAAAATTGTATGTTTCCATGAAATTGAGCTTGGGATAACAATCATTCCTCAGGCACTCATATCGGCCTTTCTATATCTTGTTCAAGAATATAACTCATTGTTCTTCTTGAAGGAAAAGTTTTGAAACTAGGTATATGGTGACTGATTTCAGTGCCTGAGGATCAATTTTCATGACAACCACCATTGAGTTTGTCATGTAAATTGATCCACCGAAATGAGTTTTATCTATCTAGTAATCCTACTACTACTATTATCCAATAGGAAGTGTCTAATTTGGCCCGAAAAACAAGAGATGAGATGGAAGTCTATTGTGAGGCAAGAATTTTTTGAAGGAATTTCAGTCTTCTGAATTGATTGAGCATTCCAATAGTGTGTTTTCCGGAAACTTCCGTCTTGGGTGCAATGTTGGATCTCTCTGTAAACACTGGAACTGGATAATTTGAAGATCGGATCCGTTTTTGGAAAACTTCAAGGTTAGCTTTTTCAGTCTCTCAGAAAATTGGTTGCACCCTGGCAGCCGATATAAAAGTTCGTTTGATCAGTTGATGGATGGTGAAGGAGATTTTGCGGGTGCCGGATTTTGTAAATAGCTCTCAGCCTAGCTCTTTCTGCTAGTTCCAAATTGTTCAGTGCCGTCTTCCTAGTGTTTATGTATATTGGGTGAGCAAACTCAAAAATTGAGCAACAAACGGTTTTGTGAATATGTGCTGCGGTTCTTTTGCTAATTCCTTCATCCTTGTGAGTTAGGCTTTGAAAATGTTTAGCTCTTTTGATGCAATTATTTTCATCAACTGGGTATCATGGTTAAAAATCAGTTTTTGATCTAAGTATACTCCCATATATTCAACTAATGCCCTAGTTCTCACTATATGATTGTTCACAGTTACCTAGGGTGAATCATCTGATATTTTTTGATTGAAGAGTATCAGTTGGGATTTTTCTGGATTTGGTGTTATCCTCCACTTGTTACACCATTTCATAGTGTTCTGAATGAAGATGATGATTGCTCTACTTATATTCTGATTCTGATGGTAACAATTATAATGTTGACATCACGCTCTTATAGTATTTGGTACAAAACAACATGATATCATTATGAATCAAAATTCAATATAATAATTACTTGAAATCCATAAACAATTCATTACACCACTGCTCCAAGTATACTGGGTGGTCCTTAATGTTAAGCAAATAATCAGGAGGAGGTTTCTTGAACCCAATTCAAGAAAAAATATACATGAACGTTCGGCGTTTAAACGTCCTGATGATTATTCAAATATAAAGAGTGTAAAATTATTGAAAAAATGGGTTTTTTTCAACAACGACTTTAGAAAAATCAGAAATATATCAATAAATCTGTTGTGAGACCCTGATGAGGGTGAATAACATATATTGTGATCAAATTTTGCCAATTGAAGTTTTGCCGATGGCGTTGCTATATTGTTTATATATTTCATCAGAAAGTCAACAACGAATTTCCGAATGGATGATCATGATATACATATAACATTCTGAAATTCTTGCACTATTCCAGTCACTTAACAAACCACATTTTGTCATCACGGAAGACTATTCGAGTTGGGCACAACTTCAACTTTGACCTCTGCATCCTAAAAGTTATAGGATCCTTACGACCCCCTCCCTCGAATATTTTCAGTGCACCATCTATAGGTAGATCTAATCAGATATTTTGATTTATTCAACCCAAAAATCGCAAATGACTTTTTCACCTCGTATAGATTCCATTCAAGATTATATCGCTTTCACTCCATACTCCTCCTTCTGCTAACTCTGAATCTCTCTTTCATTACATTTCCACAATTTCTTTTGGATTTTCTATATTATCTGCGTCTGGCATAATGGATTACTGATACGAATTCATGTGGGCTAGGTACCCAGATTATAACCAGACTCTCTAGGCCAATCAAAGTGGTCCCATCAGTAGCGTCACATATAAAAGTTGGCATTATACCTATACCTGCTCGAGTATAATGATAGATATGGAACAGAGTGGTAGTTTGCTAGATTATTTCACGATGACTTAAGAAGCATTCATCAAAAAACTTGAAAAATAGTATACATTATAATCAAAGCGACTCATTCTGACGTTTGCAGCAGAAAGTAATGTTTGTCAAAATGTCAAAATTGGTTTTGGTATCCATGGTACATCATTATAGATACCAAAGCTTATGGGCCGATCAGGATTGAAAGACAGCTAGTATTATACAAGTTGTGAGCCTTATGAATTCACGATAAATCTTTTTTTTTTAAATGAACTTTATTTTTCAAATTATTGGAACGTGCGTGTGGTCATTTTTCTTCCAAAGAATGGAAATATTATAATCGAACATGATATCCCCAGAATTAGAATGAGAACATGAATTTGATATTACATATATACGAGGAAAATACTGGATATTCATTCATTCGAATTTGTCAAGTGTGCCAGCATGGATAGCTATGATGCATAATGATTCGCAGTTATTTTTTCCAAGTATTTTTCGAAAAACAAAACAGTGTTATATGAGCATATATATTATATAAGCCTTAGAAGCAAACAGTAAAAGTTGCTTCATTTTCGTCAAATTTGAATTCGAGTTTCTGTAGCAATAATTTATAATCAAAGAGGAAAGTGAATATCTGAGTGAGATGTTCTGCAGGTCTCCAAAGTGACCACGAAGGGTGCGAAGCCTCAACTCGACTGGTTAATCTTGCGTTGACTGCCAAGGGAGGTACAATTGTTGATATGACACACTATTGACATCAATGTGAATAGATAAACATTCCGAAAATGTCATAATATATAGGGTGTTCCATTAAAAAATTCAAAATTGGAGATGACTAGGAAGTGAAAAATAAGCAAAAAATTCCTCTTTATATACCATATAATCATTATGAATTGCATTATCATACATCCAATATCCTAGAAGTTATCTCTTTTCCCATAGATTGGTTGACACTCGGTATATACGGTTAGATAATGATATGAAATTATCCCCCCTACCACCCTACTACTTTTGAAAATGTGAACAAACCATTATTAAATATATTTCACTTTATAAAGTTACAAATGTCACCTTCTTCTACGTCTGTCTTTAGGATCACTTTTAGATCAATTTGCACTTCTTCTTCCATTGGACAATTTATATATTACAATATACTCCAGAGACACATTTTTTTTATTGATTATGACTCAACTGAAAATATGATTTTCTTGCGATTTATCCATATTTAGTGAAAAGAAGGAAGGATATGATTTCAAATAATATAGTGTGTGTAATGTCATTCTAAATCAATCTGTTGACATTTGACATCTCGTATTTCATATATATGTTTATTGCCCAGAAGGAGAAATATTCTTGTTGACAAAAAATTGTTGCACATGATCACTAATATAAATGAAATAAATAAATACATACATTGTCGATTGTCACAGTCTATATAAGACTGGTATCAAAATTGTAAAAATTGTAGAACCCAAAATCACTTTACAGAGAGCACAATGAAATAACTAGATTAGGCTAAACGAATATGTCACAGAAAAATTCATCAATATCATAGTATGCCTTTTCAGCTAAAAGGGTTTCAAACTTTCTCTTAACAATTTCATAGATATGATGGTGGTGATTTCGATAGATAGGTGATTGTATAATTTCACTCCATTATATATAATTGGAATCTTTACCAGCATTGTTTTGGGAACAAGAAGCTTCAACTGACCTGTCTGACGTATTTTTGTGAATAATAGATGCTGTTTCCAAAATGAATAATGATATCAATGTTAGAATGTTTTCTTTTATAAAGAGTGATCTGCAAGAATCATTAAGTTTTATAATATATAATATTTTTTTGCTAACAATGGGACCTAATTCTTTGGAGATATTTTTCAAAACCTGATGCCAATTTTCTCCTGAGATGAATTATATGGTAAGTGATCAATGTGTATTCCCAGAAAATTTGGTACTTAATTTTTCTTGAATTATATTAGATCCAATCCTGACATCAACAAGTTCGCATTTGAATGTAATTATGCTCGTTTTGTCAATATTTAATGACAACAAATTCGCGTCACACCATTACTCAACTTTTTTAATGTCTAGAGTTACAATTCTTTGTAGATTGTCTAAATTTTTTTGGTGGTATCATCAGCGCAAATAAGGTGAAACTTCCTGTTATGTCTAGCTGGGAAAGATCATTGATGAATAAAAAGAAACAGAATTGGGCCCAATACAGAACCTTGAGGCACTCCCCACTTAATTAATTCAGTTTCAAAGTTAGCTTGTGACCTAACGGATTGACTATCGATCAAATGACTGTCATCTGGTATGATTGTTCACTAAATATAAAAAACTCGCCATAAAAATCATATTTCTTGTTGAATTTTTCATATAAAAATGTATCATTGAAGTACATCATGAATATAAAATGTTCGATGACAAAATAAGAAGAGCAAGTAGGTAGCTGTGAATGCATCCAACACAGGGGGAAAAAGAAGGTGACATTTCGAACTTTTTCATGAAATATCTCGATAAATAGTGGCTTGTTCATATTTTCTCTATCAAATTCGTGTTTTCCAGACAAAAATACGTGAGTACCAGAAATTTTTTTCGAAAAAAAAAACATCTCATGATGAGTGTCGTTTTACCGGAAAAATCATGCAACGCCACTGTTTTTCTCCGCATACCAAAATAACGGGACGCACCTCACCTCACCTTCCAAGTCAAACAACCAGCAGTACACAGCGCAGACTTGAACGAGGCTGAAGTGTTTCCAGTGATTTTTCACAAATCGAATGACATTTTGTGACTTTTTCGACAATAAGAAATCATCAGTGTACCCGGTTCCACTGACTTTCCAGCTATCCGGAGCGCTGAAATCGGTTTCCGGGTGTGTTGAAGACTATAAATAGCGCGAGACTGAAAATCAAGTGAGTTCAATGCTAGGTCGCACTAGAAACCTGATGGGATATCTTTTAGTCGAATAATTAAAGCATGAATCAGTGGTAAGCATCTAACTTTACTATCAACACCCAAATCCAAAGCATTTTTATGTATTTGTACCATCATCTCACAGTGACTACAACTCAATATTGACAAACCCATGTGTGATGAATATTACGAAAGTGTATGAACTAATTAAAGGTCACAACGATCAACGATGAAGACAAAGAGTTGAATGAAACTATCTTCCCCTGTGTGCAGACCCTGCAATCAAGCTGTTGAAAAAAGTTGTGTAAAAGTGCAAAGTCAACCTTGAATGTATACAAAGATACTGAGTATATAGTGTTGCAGACATTTTCTCTTGAGAATGTGAGGATTGTGAGGTATTCGTGTCAACGCGTTCATATCTTATTAATATTAAATAAATTCTTATGTTTCTTTCGAGTTTTATGTGGATTTCACAGCGAATACAATAATTGTTCATAAAGTGTAATTAGGTGTTGTATATGACATTACCTGATGATGTAATACCTCCATCATAGGATTATATTTCATAACAGGTATAAATACATACAGGGTGTTCCCTCCTGTATCTACCTCTCTATTTGTCGAAGTACTACTCAAGATTGTATCTCCCACCATTGATGGGATAGATGCAATGAAGATGAAGTTCTGCCTCTTTCCTGTACACGGAAAAAAGGATTTGTTGCATCAACAATTTATTTATGCTTGAATTATTATTGTTGAACTGAGCAACTTTTGGTTTAATCAAACAGATATATCATTATTTCATGGGAGTAGCTTGTTCAAATCAAGAATGGAGTTCAATTGAATCAACAGAATAATATCAATTCATTGAATCAACAGTATGATATCAATTCCATCAACAAAAATGGTTATCTTCTTGCATCAACTGAAGAGAAGTATAGACTGAAGATCTCTATGCTAAAAGTCGACTAGTTTCCTAGTTTAGTTTATTTTATTGATGTAAAATTTCAGAAAATTCCCGAATTAATACTGAATTTGGTTCAACAAAACAATTTTCCGAATGGAATGGATCAAAAAAATATTTCATTGAATCCATTGAATCGACCAAATATATTTTATTGCATCAACCAAATATATCATTGAATCAACCAATCTACTAAATATTTGATTGAATCAATATCTTGATATTCTGAATCGAACATAATGATTGTTTGTGCCAATTCAATATCTCTTTATAAACAATTCATGGATGTGCTTGATTGAATGAGATTTAGAATTCATGCAAGACATATTTATTTGTTTCAAACTTCAAATTAGCTCTGAAACAAGATATAAATTTGATCTTTTCGAAATTATATTTTGTCGTGCATATATGACACTTATATTTGCTTCATTCAATAATTAAATTATACTTGATTCAACAATTCCTTTTTCTCCGTGTAATATTTCATACCCTGCTCAGGTATATAGATTTCACTGTGTCAAATATGATTTCCTGGAGCCGATAACGTTGAATACAGGGTGTCCCAGATGAAAATGAAAGCTGAGGTTGATTACTACAGACTACAGAATCAAAGGAAAAATTATTAAAATTTAATGTAATGCATGGGAATGAATCAGCATCACATAAACATATATAGCGAATAAAAGTGACATTGTTTAGATAAGTATTTTGAGCTGAATTTTGAATGGAAGAAAATTCATTACGTCTCAAATGAATCACCCAGTATAAAGAATACGTTAGCTGATTTCGCTGATCCGGCTCAGTTCAATGACATGTTTTGCAGCACAGGTATATCTCAGGTAAAAATTTCAGATTGTATTTTCAATTCTCTGGTACCTGTCTCGACTATAATCACAGACATAAAATGAAGAAGATTAGGTACCCTTTGCGTCAAGTTGTTAACAAAAGTTGAAGAATAAAGAGATGTACAGGTCGTCTAATAAAATATGACCCAAGCTGCGTCCTATTCCACCTTTTTCATTGAAAGGTTTTCTAGAAACCAGACAACAGATTCAATGGTTTGAAAAATAGCTGGTTTATTAATCAGATGGTTCTCTAATAATTAAACATAGAAGTATAATAGTATAGAGCATAATCGTTTATTACTAATAAAAAAGATACATGTTGTGAAAAGTATGGGATTCAGGAACTCATTGAGGTTTTTGAGAGCTAGACGTCTTTTTCTCCATGTTTTCTCTTCTGTTATATTTTTGATTTAATATTTTTGGTTATTGATGGAAAGGAATCATTCTATCTAAATTTCTGTGCCTACTATAACTCATTATTTTCAAGCTAAGAGAACATTATCAACCTGCTACTTCATTATTAGTCGTAATGAATACTTTCAATTATGCGAATTTCAAGTTTTGGGATTGATAACAAGTCTAATTTTCTTCCGATAGAATACAGAGTACTTATTCAATATTCCTCACTGACAATAGCGCTGACTGCAGAACACATTCATGCCAAAACCGTGGCTCCGAGAAAGTAAACTGGGACAGAGATAACAGATTATGATTTCTCATACCCAAAAACCTTTATTTTCAAAATTTTCCTGTATATTCATGTTCAAAAACGTCGAAGTTATTGCGAAATATGGGTAGGACAAGTTAGTTCAAATTTTGATATCTTGAAGTAAAAAATGGATAAAACACATACTACATTTTTATGTTCAATTACCGAAGGACCACCATGTATGTTGTCTATTGTTTTCTGCGTTAAGACAAACTCATCATTGTGACTTATACGTTGATAAATTAGTTACTTTTTTAATAACATGTGAATAATTCAATTCAAATTATGGCGGAGTCGCATTATTGATTGGAAGGACTAATTTTTTTGTTTTTCATGGGTTACTCAATAATTTTGATTCTAATTTGAGCTCATTTCGAATAACACTTCTGACAAAAAAATCAAAATGACTTCCAGAAAACCAGAGGAATATGACATTATTATCATTGTTAGTAATTGTTAAATACTAAAAGATCATTTTTGAAATTGTGAATGCTTTGCATTGTTTTATTCATCAACCTGTGGTATTCAATTTACTAGTTTTCTGTGAACTAATATATCATTCACTTCAAGGTAGTATAAACAATGCCATGATAATCCTGAAAAATGCAGTCCAATAATTCGGAATAAAGCGTTTGAGCCGGTTGTTGAAAAAATGGCGAAGATTCTAACTACAATTTTGGCATTCACCAAATATGCACATCCGGAAATTGAACCAAAGATGGACTCCTCGCAGGTTTCAGGAAGGTACTGCTATTTTTTGTGGGGTATGGAATCACCTCGGGGATCACTCACATCATTGGTAGAGTAAAGTGGGGGATTATGGAATATGTCCGGTAATATGGAATACCCTATTTCTGACTGATAACGCCATCCATTCCAATTTGATATAAGATCATTCCACTGAGTTCATAGAACTTCCACAAGGGTGTTTATTCTATAGGTACATCTATGGTTTCTGACAGTTATTATAGTTGATTGAATTCCGGTGTTCACGAATTTTTTTAGGTGAATTTATTATATTTATATTTCTAACACATATGAAAGTGATTTTATTTCATATCATTGTTCAGTTGAGTAGATGAATGATGAATGAGAGATCAAATGTGCACTCATTTCAGATAATTTGTAATTTTCGAAATTTGCAACCTCCGAAGTAATATAGGCAGCAAGTATGGAATAGTATCCCATATTACCAGTCTCAATTAATAAATACTTCGGGAAATGAACAAAATGAAAAACAATGCGAACTACAACGCCACAAAATGAGAAGTAGAATAAGGAATATGAAAAAAGTACAGTGTATGCAGTAATAAGCAGAAGAATGGATATATCCATTCTTCCATCCATTATAGTGGATATCAATAGTGGATATCAATAGTGGATACAAAGCCTAAGATGCAAGCTTTGGGCACACGAACTGTGTGCTGAGAACGATAACCACCACATTTTCGATTTTGTCATTAGTAGACATTAGATATTGCTGCTCGTAGCTGCTATAGGTACTACCCGACCATTTTTTCGGCCAACAGAAATATAGTATTCCTCAATAATTCATATATTTTTTTATCATTATTCGGTGTAATACATTTTTCAAACAGCATCACCATTTTGAATTTATATTTCATTCATCACGTTTCGAGAAAACACAAAAAATAAAAAGGCTATTACATAAACCGCGGTTGAGGTCGAAATTGTGTACACCAAACTCCAATTTCACTGGGAATTCCAAGGAATCCTAAGGAAATTCAAGGAATCACAAGGAAATCCACGAATTCAAGGGATTTCTAGGGAATCCATGAAAATCCAAGGAATTCTAGTTGTTTGTAGATCAAGAATATACCGCACTTCACCTAAAGAATTCCAGGAAATTCCAAGGAGATACAAGGAATTCCTAAGAAATCCATTGAGTTTCAGGGAATTCCAGGAAATTCCAAGGAGTTCCATAATTTCACCGTTGTTTACCCCTCAATAATCCCCGATTTTTCAGAAGAGCGCGGTTTCTGATGTTAGGCATGAAAACCTGGAATCATTTAGTACAGTGGCTGTCATTCTTATCTTGCAACCAGACATTTGGTTCGAATGAGAAGGATGGGAATATTTTCAGATGTTGTTGACAAAAATTCGTCTTCTGATGGTAGGTACTTCAATTTATTTTGAATCCCTGCTTTGAATGCCTACATTTTAATGGCGTTCAGATTCTCTCATGAGATTTCGATTTATGTCTTGGAGACATCAGATGAGACGGCCACCTCTTATCGAATCTCTTGTACAGGTTTTTGGGTAATTTTTTAAGGTATTTTCATTATTTTCCTGACCTTTCAAACTTCAACTTGTAGAATGGTATTCATGTGAAAGATGTTCATTATTTGATTTCAATAGGGTACAAATCATTCAAGATGTTATCATTCGAAAATAATTTTTATCATGAATTCATTATATCGACTAGAACTTTTCACACATGTATTTTTGCATTGATTTGAATGCCAAAATTTTGATGGTGTTCAGATTCTCTCATGAGATTTCCATTTATGTCTTGGGTAAATCAGATGGGACGAC